CTTTATAATATTAGTACAGATGTAGTGTATTTTATTAAGGGGTGAAAATCATCGAATTACTGCTCCCGCCTGGGTTAGGCGGGAGAGAGTGTCAGACTCTTACTGACTAAAAACCACCCCGTTCCTTCTCCTGCACGTCGAGCCGGAGCCCCGGTAACCCGTTAGGTTCTCCGCGACATATTATGTAGTGTATAAGATGTAAAGTGACTTACCGAATATCGAAAACTGTTTAAAAACAAATAGTTTTTGTTTAAGCACACGTCCTGTCGTTCACAAATAACAAAGTTGACTGGTCCGTCTGTCGTAAAACCGGATTGCACACATAATATTGCTAATGAAAAGATTGTAAGGTAGCATTCACATTGGTGGTATTTAAAAGCTCCTTTGTGAATAATGAAAACAGTTACAACTTACAGTTAAAATAAGTAAATAAAATATTTTTTTTTTATATAGCATTAGCCGGTAAACGAGCAGACGGATCACCTGATGGTAAGTAATCGGCGTCGCCCATGGACACCTGGAACACCAGAGCATTACAAGTGCGTCACCGGGTTTTTGGGGATTAGGAGTTTGAGGATCGTTAGGGATTCAGGGATTGGGAAGATTGGGGAAGGGCCGTACCTTCGTATTTGCATGGCTTTTTCACGATTAAAATATATTTATTTTTAAATGATATACTTGCAAGCGAGCAGACGGATCGGATTGCCCTACCCAATAAAAAATAATGAGTAAAACTTTACCAGTATAAAAGATCCTTTAGAAATGAATTATTCATGTTGTGTAGCAACTTAGCTAGTATCATCTCTGAGTACAAGTTTTTCCTGTGTAATATGTAGGTAGCCGACAAACTTTATAATATCTTTACTTAGTATAAAACTAAGTTTGCTGTGACAAACTCATAAACTACTGAATGGATTTTCATGCGTATAAATGTGGGAGAGCCCTGCTTCGGCACGAATGGGCCGGCTCGACCGGAGTGATATCACGGCCGAGAAGATAACCGACGTGAAGCAACGCTTGCGTTGTGTTTCATCGTTTGAGTGAGGTTACCGGACGCCCAATTACCCTGAATCCCTAACAATCCTCAAATGCCTAATCCCAAAAGACCAGTAACGCACTTGTAACGCCTCTGGTGTTCCGTGTGTCCATGGGCGACGCCGATTGTTTACCATCAGGGGATCTGTCAGCTCGGTTACCGGCTCATCCCATAATAAAAAATCGATTCTCAACCCCTCAAATGGGATTTATAGCATTACTGGTGACATGGTATATTTGTATCGGGGATTTAATTTGTTTTTTATTACAACCCGAAGCTGCAGCCTTACCGAGAATCGCGAACAACTTAAGGACCGTTACTGAGGCTCCGGCTCGAAGGAGGAGTGAATGCAAAAAGTACCTATCTCAAGTTTCATTGTTAGAATAGGTTAGAATAGGTTCTGGCTCGAAGTGCAGGAGTAGGAACGGGGTGGCTTTCATTCGTGCCGAAGCATGGCTCTCCCACACTTGATTGTGTAGTGTAAATTCGTTTTTTTTTTGTACCGTTCTATTAATATAAATAAATAAATAAATTTCCATATCAAAGATAGTTCAATTTTTATTATTCGCAAGATTTAGAGTTTTGGATATATTTAGTACATTTTACATTTTATTGTAGTCAGCAGTTTTGCAGTAACATTTATAAATATATATATAAACATGTTGCTAAATTGTAACTCTTAACATATTGAGGGCTCTTTTATAATGAGAACACGTTGTAAATTGTGTAGCGTAATAAATTCAACTATAAATGAAAAAATATTGAACTAAATTGGAGTTTAAAATGTTATAGAACCATTATAATTGCATAAAATATAATTTTAAACTGTCAAATACCATACAATTGTGTTTTTTATGTAAGAAAAGAATATACAAAACTAACAAAAAGATATGATTCCGGCCAGGATCGAACTGGCGGCCTTCTGCGTGTAAAGCAGATGTGATAACCACTACACCACGGAACCAGTTGTCTAACGAGTTGAAATTGTAGATCTATATGTAACACGCTATTAAGATTTAAACATGGCGTCTGATGGCGTCACTCACAGAATGCGTCATTTGTTTTGATTAATTTACGCATAGTTTTAATGATTTATGCGATTCACGTTTCGTATTTTGACAAAAAATACGTAGTAAAGTATCTATTTGGTCTATTTGGTTATAAATGGCTATTTTATACAAAAATATGTGTCGCAGTTGTGATTTTATTCGTTAAAAGTCTTTAGGTAATATGATCATAGGTTTTTCTGTAGGATGTGAATTAAATTCCTTTTGTTATATTTCGTAATCAATGATTAGCTTGATATATACAAATCCTTATATAAAATTTTAGAAAGTTTAAATTAAAATATAATTATTTTGCTTACTCAATTTTGATAATGACGTAAATACATTAATATTATTATGTAATTTTTTATTAATTGCAAAGTTATAACAGCACAATTATGTATTACAACGACATCTATGCTACGTTTGGTAAACTACGTGTATTGGAGCTGTACCCCTAGATGGCGCCTTTGTCAAACTTATAACAATGCGGTCAAATCCTAAAGGTAGCTCAAGTTTTCTGATTTTCTGTAGTAAGTACCCCTTCTCACACGGAGAAGGAATCACCATGCTTACTCACTGCAGATTGGCGATTTCAAACTTATAATTAGTTATTAAAAATTACAAGTCCATGTTTCCTCACGACGTTTTCCTTCGCCGTTTTTCAGTGGTAAAAAAACAATTAAAAAATAATTTATAGAAATAAAAATACAAATTATATTTTAAACACTTTATTAATTCGCAAACATTTACTTAATAGTTCATAGTCTAAAAATGCGTCTACACTTTCAAATACGATGTTTTACTAACATAATTATTAAGATTATTTCATTAAAAATTACACAAATGTACAGCTTGGCAAAAAAGAGTTTGGAATAATAGATGTCGCTAGTATCGCACCTGTGGCAACATGGTACACTACGACTCAATCAGTTTTGATATTTGTTATTACTATCGAGTTTAAAAAGAGAAGGTACTATTCGAATGATTGTTTATTCATGGGATATGGTCCGAAGTGGGTGATGACCAAGGTGACTTATAATGAGGTGGACTGACCAAGTCAATATAAGTTCCAGCTTTTTTTATCGCATAAGCCGGTAAACGAGCAGACGGATCACCTGATGGTACGCAATTGACGTCGCCCATGGACACCTGGAACACCAGAGGCGTTACAAGTGCGTTGCCGGCCTCTTGGGGATTGGGAGTTTGAGGATTGTTGGAGATTTAGAGATTGGAGACATTGGGGAAGGGCGGAGGGGGGGGGGGGATAATTGGGCTTCCCGTAATCTGACTCACACGACGAAACACAACGCAAGCGTTGCTTCACTATAGTTTTCAGCTCGTGGTATCACTCCGGTCGAGCCGGCCCATTCGTGCCGAAGCATGGCTCTCCCACACTTAAAATACGGCTGTCACCACGTCTAACTCTTTTTTGCTAAGCTATAATATTATTAAAATTAAATGCATGATTTTGTGGAACAAACACGTCTAGGTGTGTATTTAGATTTATTTTACTATTGCCGGAATACTGAAACGTTACTCAATTTTAAGTCTTGCTTAAATATCGTGCCATCTCTGTCATTTCACAAAGATTTAGTGGAGACAGAACTATACTTAAGCGTGACTTAAAATTGAGTTACTTTACTAGTAGATTGCCTCGTTGGCCGAGTGGTCGCAAGCGCGACTGCCGGGTAAGGGGTCTCGGGTTCGACTCCCGGGTCGGGCAAAGTACTACTAGGTTTTAAAAAAATCTCAGTAGTAGCACGGAGTCTGGAATTGTGCCCGGTATATGACAATAGACTCACCCCCTATTACATGGGGCTCATAACATAAATTGTGAAAAGTGGGTGTTACATTGTACAGTGGCATTAAGTGCCGTAATGTGCACCTCTGCCTAACCCTTCGGGGATAAAAAGGCGTGATGTTATGTTATGGTATTTAGTTGTCAATGGATATACATATTTCTAATGATATAAGAAATGAAGTAATTACTATGTAATACAAAATTTGAAATGAATAATAAGAAAAGCATTATTATATTAATTTTGTCAAATTGTTATAAGATGTATCTTAATTTAAATGTTTTTTATTAAATCTATTTTATTATACATTAATCTTACATTTTAATGGACGCTTTTTATTATTTGATTTTAATTTTCATAATTTTAATTCTAAGCGATTTTTTTTTATTATACTTTTTATTTATAAGCTTTTAAAATTAGTGTGTGTTTTTGTACTGAATTTTTATCGAGTGTAAATAATATTATGAATAAATTCGCAAATATTATTAATCATAATTTAGCTTGTTACTATTTTATTGTAAAATTTAATTTCACATATAACTCTTTTTATTTAAATTTTAAATTACATCTAAAACCCGTGATTTATTATTATAATCCTATAAATAAATTCTACGATTGGAAAAGCCGGCATTTAAAAAATAACAAGGACGACGTAATTTCCAGTTGTATCCAAAATTGTGTAGGTACTTGCCTATAAGCCAAATTCAATAATTTTTTCGAACTGTCAAAAACGACAGTTTTCTATGAATTTTGTACGAGATTGTGTATTGTGATGTCACGTTTTTTGAGCGTCAAACAGCGTACTTATTTCTTAAAAAAATTGCTGGTACAATACTAAAATTAAGTTGGTCATAAAATCAATTAATGAAAGTGTGATTATTTTTTAATATTTCATTGTATTGAACAGTCGAAATAATTTATTTTTGATCAAGAAAAATATTCAATTCTATTGACAGAATGAATATATAGAACGAAATGGTACCTACGGCTATTATGACATTCCAATATTCAAAATTCAAATCCCGGATTTTCCAATGTGTTTACAAAACGTGAATTATCACCAAACCATAATTATTTTAATGAGTACGTTGTGTTTATATTAATATTAATTATTATTTAATTTGCTAGGATCTTCCTTATGCAGGATACTACGAAGATCGCTATCAAAGATGTCTTGAGGATGTCGGCATCTGGGAAAGAAACAAAAAAAATTATATACAATCTTATGTTTGAAATTTGGGCTCGTATACAAAACTGCGATGCGATGCGAATTCACAACGCAGAAAATTACGACACGAATTGCTGCGATGCGATTTCGTGCGACAAGCCGTCTCCCAGGGTGACCATTCCTTCGACGACCGTCAACCGTACTAAACGTATTTTAAATTGAAAACTAGGTCGTGACATGGATCGTAAACAGAACTTCTGTTATCGTTTAGGAGATACAGGAAAAAGAAACAAAGAAGATTTTGGGAAGATAAGATTTTGAAATTCTTTGTGTGATCCACAAATTGTTGTTCCGTGTCTGGGTGTCATGTGTATTTGAATTTGTATGTTTGTAAACGCACCCACGACACAGGAGACAATCCTAGTGTCGTTTTTGGTTTAAAAAAAAACTATGTATATTATAACTTTCGTGAGACATTATTATATTTTCGGCTTACTCACGTAATAATTTGACGAGGACCTCGACTAGTTTCAAGCCATGCTAGAGGCTGAATAGCAGCGCGGCAGTCGCTGCGTCGCGGGTCGCGGAATGCTGCTCATGAATATAAGCCTCTAGCCTGGCTTGAAACTAGTCGAGTTCCTCGTCAAATAATTACGTGAGTAAGCCGAAAACATAATAATTAACTACATATTAGTTAAATCTTTGATGGTCTATTCTTCTGCATAACTAAAAAATTCGATAATTTCAGCACTGGAAAAAATATTCTTATTAAGAATGTGCTTATTTTTTTGATATCAATCTGAACTGTGATTAAACTGGCGGTAATGGGTGCGTTTACGTTATAATGTACTTGCTTACCGTTGCAAGCGTGTTCCTTCTCTGTAAACCCAGAGTCCACATCGCAGAGACAGATCTTCTCTGACGGGGGATGCACTCTGAGATGTAGTGGGGTCGTGCCCGTGATGTTGGGAGTCCCGCAGATCAGCCCGTCGTTGCACTCGTCGCTGTTCGCGCAGACGTGGTAGAGAGCTGAGAATGGATTTAAATATGAAAATAACATCATCGATATCAACAGCCTATAAGTGGCCACTGCTGAGCAAAGCCTCTTCTCACACGGAGGTTTGAGCATAAATCACCACGCTTGCTCTATGCTGGTAGGCGCATTCAAATTTATAATTAGAAATTATAAGCCCAGGTTTCCTCACGTTGCTTTCCTTCATCGTTTGTCAATGTCAGTGGTGTCTAAATAATCTTAGAAAGTACATAGAACTCGGAAAAGTCACATTGACGACTCAACCTGAAGTGAGCTCTGCCGAGTGCGACTCTGACGCCCACCGCGTGCCGGCTCTGCCTAAGCGCACCGAAAATCTCCTAGGTGGCGCGCTTGCGTTCCATTTAGCGTCCCATACTCTTGACCGGCTACGACATATATATAAATAAAATAATTTTCGGTATTTTTTTATGGCATAAGCCGGTAAACGAGCAGACGGATCACCTGATGGTAAGCAATCGGCGTCGCCCATGGACACTTGGAACACCAAAGGCGTTACAAGTGCGTTACGGTTTTTGGATCGATTAGGAGTTTGATGATCGTTAGGGATTCAGGGATTGGGGAAGGGGAGGGTAATTGGGCCTCCGGTAACCTCACTCACACGACGAAACACAATGCAAGCGTTGCTTCACGTCGGTTTTCTGGTCGGCCGTGGTATCACTCCGGTCGAGCCGGCCCATTCGTGCCGAAGCATGGCTCTCCGACACTTAAAAACCGTTCGTTAATCTCGCAAAAACTTGATAACCGATTTGGCTAATTTTAGCCTTGAAATATTTGTGGAAGTTCACGTCGTTTTAGGCGGTACAAAGTTTGCCTCGTCAGCTAGTATAAAATAAATATTTCTGTATAACAAAAACCAACTAAACCGTCCCCTATAAAACCTCTTTCAACCACCATAATAAGTACTTACGAACCTAAATAAGTATTTCTTATCTACACTCAAACTATAACTTACCCGCAAGGAAATATAAACCTTGACACTATAGCATTAAAGTGGCAATTTATAAAAATGTGGTCAAGTACGTTTTAAGTCAAGGGTTCCTTGCTGGTGTGAAGTTAAAACCGGTTATATCCAGTTATAATTTGAAAATAGTTATTAATAGAACAATGCTGTGTTCTGAAACTGTAATAGGAGAGCCATCCTTCGGCACGACTTTCCTACTCACGGCACGACGCTCGACCGGAGTGATACCACGGCCGAGCAGAAAACCGACGTGAAACAACGTTGTTTTGTGTATCGTTGTGTGAGTGAGGTTACCAGAAGGGTACTAATATAAATCTCTTAATTCTAACCAATATTTTGCCGCCCGATACCTGGCGGTAACAAATATCTTCTTAACCAGTCCCTTTTCAGCGAGACTGGAGGCAAAAAATATCTTTTGTCTTTTTTATATAAAATGTTGCCCCACACTCGGATTTTCTCCTGTGTCGTGGGTGCGTTTGCAAACATACAAGTTTATATAAACATGACACCCAGACACAGAACAACAATCTGTGGATCACACAAAGCACGTGGCATCCAGTTGCCGAGCCACAGCAGCAGCTGTGCAGTCAAATTAAGAACATCAAGACTATCAGGCAATTGTTTAAAAAGTTATCAACGTTTTTTAGCGCGGGTGGCAAAAGCATAGGCATATAAGGCATAGCACGCTCACTCTAGGGTTAAAAAGGACTTGGGCCTATGATGATCACAGCCCAATTTTCCTAGACAAATGTTATTATCGCTAGTTCAAGCGAAAGATAATATACATACACAAGCTTCGGCCAACGGCTTCGCCCGCTTTCCCGTGCTTTAAAAGGTAAGAACGTCAAATTCCAAGCATTTATTTCAATTAAACCATAAATTGGTACTTTTACATTTTTAAGTGTGGGAGAGCAATGCTTCGGCACGAATGGGCCGGCTCGACCGCAGTGATATCACGGCCTCACAGAAAACCGACGTGAAGCAACGCTTGCGTTGTGCTTCGTCGTGTGAGTGAGGTTACCGGAGGCCCAATGCTTCTCCCCTTCCCCAATCTGCCCAATCCCTGAATCCCCAACGATCCTCAAACTCCTAATTTCCAAAAGGCCGGTAATGCATTTGTAACGCCTCTTGTGTTCCAGGTGTCCATGGGTGACATCCGTCTACTCATTTACCGGCTTATGCCATAAAAAAACTTTTGAAACGTCATTAAAGACAAAATAAATAATAGTCCGTCAGTTAAGCGAGTGGCTCGTTCCAAAATGTAGACTCGAGTGGAGAAGAACAAGTAAGAAACTCCATTCGTTACTCTTTAACGTAAATGATATTCCTGATCCCTGTTTCTAATTTAATCCCGATCCCTTCAGCCATCTTGACGTGATTGTGTAACAACAACAAATACACAAACTTTTGCGTTTATAATATTAGTAAATTAGTAAGAAGTCAAAAGACAGTGACAGAGAGTAAAGCTAAAGTTCCCTAAGATCGGAAAAGGAGGATCCTCCGACCAGGCGAGGTATTCGTGCATAGCGAGCTTTCTGCCGCTTTATAGTTTACCAAGGGATGGTAAGTAAAACGCGAGTGAGGTTTGGAACAGAATGATTTATTAGAACGTCTACTCGTTTTATTTATACGTTTGGGGTAAACATTAATTTTACTCAAAATATGACGGACCAATCATAAACGACTAATAGTTCACGGGCCTGCCGCGCTCAAGGCGTGTCGCTGCTGTCGTCGAGGCGTCTGGTACATGGCTCCCCCCCAGCGAAGCGTACTGGCGGTTTCGAACGTCTTCCAGTCCTCGTGGTGTAGGCGGCGTCACGATTTGCATCGGCTTCAGGTTCGGAGTCTAGCAGGAATGCGGGTTTTAGTCGGTCTATGGAGACATTCTTGTTTTTCCATCGACTTGTATGGTGTACGTCTTATCATTCCGCTGTATTACTCGGTGCGGGCCGTTGTATGTGTGCGTGAGTGGTTTGCGAACTGCATCGGTACGCATAAACACATGGGAACACGTCCGTAGTAGGCGAGGTATGTACGTTGTTCGTCGATCGGTGTTAATGTGTGCAGCGGTTAGTTTTTTATCGCACTTGTTATGACGTCTCCGTAATGAGATTGTGTTTGTTTTGTTATCTTCACACCTAACATTTCGCCGGGTAATCTGAGTGACTGGCCATACAGTGCTTCTGCTGCGGAGATATCTGTGTCGTTTTTTATGGTTGCACGTAGTCCCAGCATGACTGTCGGTAGCTCGCTCGTCCAGCTTGAATTTTGAAGGCGAGCTGTTAGCGCAGTTTTGAGTGAGCGGTGGAATCGTTCTATCATACCGTTTGCTTGAGGGTGGTAAGCAGTAGTACGGGTGCCTCGATTCCAAGTCGCTTCATTAGGTTTCTGAATAATTCGGACTCAAATTGACGGCCTTGGTCGCTGGTCAATTGTTCTGGACATCCGTAGCGGGCTATCCAACCTTCGTACACAGCGCGGGCCACTGTTTCAGCTGTTATGTCAGCGACAGGGTAGGCTTCAGGCCATCTTGTCGTTCTGTCGATCATTGTCACACAATACCGTTTTCCATCTGATATAGGCAGTGGTCCAACGATGTCGATGTGGATGTGAGACAAACGGTGAGTAGTGGGAAAGGCTTCGAGAGGTGACACTGTATGTCGTTGCGTTTTTGTTTGTTGACAAGCGATGCAACTTCGTGTCCAGTTGTTTATATCAGCGTTCATGTTCGGCCAAAAAAATCGCTTCGTTATCAAATGTCGTGTGGCGCGAATACCGGGATGACTCATCTCGTGGATTGCAGTAAATACTGTGCGTCGTATTTGTAGCGGTATATATGGTCGTGCGCTGTTTGTTGACATCTCGCATAATATTTCGTGATTTGAGTGGATCGATTTTATGCGTTCAAATCTTAACTTTTTGTTACGTATGATTTCTTTGATTTCGGTGTCAACTTGTTGTTGTCTTGCCAGCTCGTCATAGTCGATCGGTGACGGTGAAGTAATTGTGTCGATTCTTGATAGGGCGTCGGCAACGACGTTGTCTTTTCCCTCGATGTGTAGAATCTTTGACGTGAACTGGCTGATGTAATGTAGATATCTAGTTCGCATAGGAGTCTCTGTTTTGCTGTTATCTCTCAGGAGTGCAAATGTGAGAGGTTTGTGGTCGGTGAACACGGTGATATCCTTCCCCTCGAACATTCTTCGGAAGTGACGTATAGCTAGGTAAATAGCTAGTAGTTCTCGATCGTATGTGCTATATTTCTTTTGAGCGTCGTTCAGCTTTTTCGAAAAAAATCCAAGTGGTTGCCATCTTCCTTGTATGTACTGCTGTAAGGCTGCGCCGACACAGGTGTTGGATGCATCACACATGAGTGAGATCGTTGCATGAGTAGATGGGTGTGCTAGCATAACGGCGTTTTTTATGCTATTCTTGCATGCTTCGAATGCCTGTTTTTCTTCAGCTGTCAGATGTATTTGAGTTTTGTCGTTCTTTTTCGAGGTGCTTAGGTATTTGAATAATTTTTCTTGAGTGTGTGCTGCGTGCGGTATACTTTCCTTATAAAAGTTAATGATACCCAGGAAGCGCCGTAGTTCTTGTATTGTTTTCGGTTGTGGGTAATTTGTATACTTTTGACGCGCTCTTCAATTGGTTGAATACCGTCGACCGATACGTCATAACCGAGGAACTCAAGTTTTTGCTTTCCGAAAACGCATTTGGAAACGTTTATTCTCAGTCCGTGTTTTTGTAATCTCTTGAACACTTCCTCTAGGTATTGATTATGACTAGCTTGGTCGGGGGCCGCAAGAAGAATATCATCAACAAATGGGTATACGTAATCCAAATCGCCCAGTATATTGTTCATGTGACGTTGGAATGTCTGCCCCGCGTTGCGTAATCCAAAGCACATTCGAGGAAATTCAAATAATCCGAATGGCGTTATCACTGCGGTCTTTTCTATATCACTTTGACGAATTCGTAATTGATTGTATGCTTTTCGAAGGTCTATTTTGCTGAATATCTTCATTCCTTGCAGTCTATAGGTGAAATCACGTAGACGGGGAATCGGGTATCGATCGGGCTTCGTCACGGCGTTCAATTTTCTATAATCACCGCATGGTCTGAGCTCACCATTTTTCTTTTGGACTAGGTGGAGTGGACTTGCCCATGGGGATTTACTTTGTTGACATATCCCTTGCTCCAGCATTAGCTGGAAAGTCTCTCTGGCGGCGTGATATCTGTGTGGCGGTAGTGGACGTGCTTTGCAGTACACGGGCGGTCCGTGCGTGACGATGTAGTGTTCCACGTCGCTGTTGGTCGCGTTACTGAAGTGTGGGGACGTGATGTCGTTATACTTCTTCAGCAGGTCGCAGTATGGGTCGTTCACGTTGACTGTGAGTACCGTCGGCGTCGATGTACTATTTGTTAAACAACCGTTGATTGCTAAGCCTGTCCTCTTGTCAATAAGTTTCTGGGCTCGTAGGTCAACCAGGAGGTTGTGGTATTGTAGGAAGTCTGCTCCGATGATCGGTCTCTTCACGTCAGCGACAGTGAATCTCCATTTCAGTGAGCGACGTAAACCAAGGTTGAGGTCTAAATTGCGTTCGCCATAGGTTTGTATCGGTGTGCCGTTTGCTGCGTATAATAGTATGGTTGACGCCGTTTTTTTTTCTTGCATGGGGGTATTACTGATATGTTCGCTCCTGTGTCGATTAGGAATCGTAGTTTGTTGGCTGTGTCGTAGACATAAAGACGGTATGCGTGAATGTAGTTGATCTCGGGTCCCGTCGTAGCCAAGATCTCATTTAGTTTTCCCGTCGCTTGCCGTAATTGCATGGAGATCGGCAGTTGCGTGCATTCTCGCCGAAGCGCTTGTGGAAATAACAAACGTCGCTCGTCGTGCGGTTGTAGTTATTATTTCGGCCGGTTGAACGTGATCGGGATCGTGAATGAGCGGAACGACGATATCTATGCGTCGCTCGCATTGTGCGCTGTACTTTTAACTCGGCTATCTCCTTCGTTAGTTGCATTACGGCGTCTCGTAGATCCAGTTCTCCGTGCATTTTCTGTTCGCGTGCACATAGCGGTGATGATTTTGAATGACCCTGACAGGTAACGGAACACACGGTTTGTATTTCTGTGGCTTGTTCGTGCATTTTATCGGCCATTGCTGCTAGAACGTCGAGTGATTTCTGTTCGCTTACTGCTAGGACTGCTCGTGTTGAGATCGGTAATCGCTGTAGCCATAACATTTGAAGTGTTGCGTCGGGTACTTTCTCGCGCGCAGGTTCTCGCATGCGTCTGAGCAGTTGTGATGGCTTCTGGTCGCCGAGTTCCATATCGTTGAGAAGTTTGTGCAACTGTCGCGCTCCAGATTCCTCGTACACGGAAAGTAGCCGTTTCTTCGCTTCCTCGTATCTTCCGGTGCGGTCTTTCGACATAATAATGTCGCTGATTTGTTCAACGTCCATTTTTTCGAGATGGGCCACCATTAGGCTAAATTTGGCTTCTTCGCTGGGCTTCTGCGGGTTGACGACAGTTTCAAATTGCCCAAACCATAGTGACGGTTGGTCGTGCCAAAATAAAGGTATGCGAGCTTTGACGGATATGGTCTCGACTTCTTCCGATGTCATGTCGATGCTAGGATATTTCGTCGTATTTAAGCAGGAACTTTCGTCGGGGTCACCACTTTACCAAGGGATGGTAAGTAAAACGCGAGTGAGGTTTGGAACAGAATGATTTATTAGAACGTCTACTCGTTTTATTTATACGTTTGGGGTAAACATTAATTTTACTCAAAATATGACGGACCAATCATAAACAACTAATAGTTCACGGGCCTGCCGCGCTCAAGGCGTGTCGCTGCTGTCGTCGAGGCGTCTGGTACAATAGTATTTAAAAATAAAAGAAATTATATGTACACTAGCTTTTACCCGCGGCTTCGCTCGCGTCACAAAAGGATAAAAAGCCTATGTGACATATACCAATACATACAGCGCCATCTATACCAATACTTTTGTTTTTGATAAAAAGTACCCTATTATTAAATCCAGATCACTAACTTTACGTCTGCAAAAATTCAATGCAATCGGTTTAGTAGTTACGGCGTGAAGTCGGAACAAACAAACAAACAAACAAACTCACTTTCCGATTTATAATATTAGTAAGGATAAGGATAAGGATTACCTATGACAAATTATTTTAATTTTATATGATGAGGTTTGATGTACTAATACTAGTTTATAAGTTGTATATGTCTTTTACTAACCATATGGATTGTATTATCTGAATAAATAAATTGATTGATTGATATAGGTAGTTTATTAAAATAAAAGAAATTGAATGTCCTTCACTAGAGAACCCTTAATATAATAACATTTCGTGTGAAATAGTAAGCATTTCGGCTTCTAAAGTTTTCGTTTGAAACAAGAATTATAGATGTTATCTTTATTTAAAAAGTACCCAATGTACGCTTGTATTCGTAATCCATTATATGTTTCAAATACTTTATTACTGGTTGACATGAAAGGTTAGCTTTTAAACCAAGTACGGCCAGGCAGAAATGTTTTTAGAGTATACATATTATAGTGACGTGAAGCAACGCTTGCGTTGTGTTTCGTCGTGTGAGTGAGGTTACCGGAGGCCCAATTACCCTCCCCTTCCCCAATCTCCCTAATCCCTGAATCCCCAACGATCCTCAAACTCCTAATCCCCAAAAGGCCGGTAACGCACTTGTAACGCTTCTTGTGTTCCAGGTGTCCATGAGCGACGCCGATTGCTTACCATTCCATAAAACAATTCTACCTTAATTGGCATGAAAATATACATTGAAATTAACTCGGCTATCTCTTTTGAGTCCGAATCAATAAAAAAACACACAAACATAAACATAACATCACGCCTTTTATTCCCGAAGGGGTAGGCAGAGGTGCACATTATGCCACTGTACAATGTAACACCCACTTTTCACTATTTATGTTATGAGTCCCATGTAATAGGGGGTGAGCCTATTGCCATATACCGGGCACAATTCCAGACTCCGTGCTACTACTGAGAATTTTTAAAAACCCAGTAATACTTTGCCCGACCCGGAAATCGAACCCGAGACCCCTTGCCCGGCAGTCGCACTTGCGACCACTCGGCCAACGAGGCAGTCAATAAAAAAAAATGTAGGTAAATTTTCATTTTTCTGTAAATTACGGAAATCCGTAAGTGCGAAGTACACGCCGCCTTCTTATAACTAGTTTTACAATGCGGCTTAACACACACGAACTCAAACACGTAATTGATATTATTCCTAATGCCATAAAACTCCAATAAGAAACATTGCGGTCGCTTATTTTGAAATACTGTCGAACTTAAACGATTTATTATAGCCGTATTTTTAACTATTGGCCCGAAACTTTCTCTTAGATTGAACTTTTATGACTTCTGTGACATGCTCCCAAGAAATGCCACGGTTTCAAAACTACACCTATATACTTGAGTAAACCAATATGTAACTTACCCTTAGTCTGCGAGTCACACTGTCCGTTGACAGGCGGCTGGTTGTCTCCACACAGGCATCGAGTGACTGGATCATAGTGCGTGCGCACACAGGAACTGCTGCTGATGCCCGCGCATTCCGCCTGCCTTGAACACGGCCGGGCTGCAATTATAACAACGAGTTATTAGAGAGAACAAAAGCCTTAATACAAGTTTCATTTACTTTTAAAGTATTCGTCACGAGTACGCGTTCGGCGCTCTGATTGGCCGGCGCCAATGAACCAACCAATCACAGCGCCGAACGCGTACTCATTACAATTACTTTAAACGTATAGTTTAACATACATTATATAACCTCTTGTCTGTCTCCCATAAGCAGTGACTATGAAACGCCAATTGCTACAATTCTTACATACCTCTTTCACTTAATCAACAGTCATCAGTCTTTTCATGCATGCTCGTCGGTTAAGAGTACTTTTAACCCCTCAAGCGTCCTTATGAGCACCCGGTGGATCATAAGAAAAAATGCTCCATGCTGCTTTCTCTTTTATAAAATCTTTTATTAATATTTTGTTTTTATTTTGGCTGTATTTTTTATTTCTATTGTAATGATCCTTGTTTTCGTGTGCCAATGGTCAAATAAATGCATTTTCTTTCTTTCTTTCTCCAAATGTCACGTGTGCACCCGTTGGATCATAAGGAACACGGACGATCGACGGGTTAATTTGGCTTTTTTTAATATACCGCAAATTTTGTCGATATATGTCTGTTAAGGGCGTCCTCTACCGACGGTCTCATTCATAGCTGTTTAATAGGGACTGGGTAACAGCGCTCTTTAATAAACTTGCGATATTGTTTAATAATTGAATTACATTCTAATGTGTCTACCTAATATTCTTTTCTACCTATTTATCTACCTACGTTGTAATTATTGTACGTAAATTAAAACACAAATTCTACGTCATGACGTGGCGTCTACGCCGTAACCTCGTAATGTGTACACAACATCTAAGTGTCTTCAATATGTCTGATTATCTACGCAGTATCCAAGTGACTACAAAATGTCTATGTAGCTACTACGCCGTAGTCTAGTAACGGAATAACTACGCAGCATCGAAGTGATTACGAAAAGGTTACGCAGTTACTATGTAAGGCCTACATTGTAGCTACGTAATGTTCAAATAAGACTACGTAATGTCTACGCAATCACTACGTAGCGTCGGATATGCTACGTAATGTCTACGCAATCACTGCGAAGCGTCGGATTTGTTACGTAATGTCTACGCAGCTCCGAAGGTATTACACCGTATTGTAATAGAATTAGTTTGCTGAGAAAATCTTTTAACGCATCCTAATCTAGTATATACTACCTACTATCTTCTATACGTGACTTTGTACGCGAAATCCCGTATTTTCCCGTTCCCGTAGGATTTTCGAGAAATCCTTGGTTAAAAAGTATCCTATGTCCGTCTCCTGGTTCTAAGCTACCTCCCCATCAATTTTCATACAAATCGATTCAGTGGTTTTTGAGTTATAAATAGCACGACTTTTTATACATAGGTATATTGGACTAGCGGCCCGCCCTGGCTTCGCACGGGTGCAATATGCATGTAATATACATATAAAACTTCCTTAAGAATCACTCTATCTATTAAAAAAAACCGCATCGCATATTTAAGTGTGGGAGAGCCATGCTTCGGCACGAATGGTCCGGTTCGACCGGATTGATACTACGGCCTCACAGAAAACCGACGTGAAGCAACGCTTGCGTTGTGTTTCGTCGTGTGAGTGAGGTTACCGGAGGCCCAATTACCCTCCCCTTCCCCAATCTCCCCAATCCCTGAATCCCCAACGATCCTCAACCTCCTAATCCCCAAAAAGCCGGTAACGCACTTGTAACGCCTCTGGTGTTCCAGGTGTCCATAGGCGACGCCGATTGCTTACCATCAGGTGATCCGTCTGATCGTTTACCGGCTTATGCTATAAAAAAACTAGCCAAATCGATTCAGTCGTTTTCGACTTTTAGTGAGATTAACGAACGGAATTTTATTTTTATTTATATAGACAGATATATACAGGGTTCGATAAAATGAAAAGAAAAACACGGTAGGGGTTCCGTTTCTTTGGTCCCAAGTGATCTCCAGACACAAAAATCATGTCATAAAGCAGTCCATTGTGACGTGAAAGAATTAATGCCTTGTGACGAAATGAATCAAGTTGCATAAAGCAGCTAGGCTGTATGGCACTGTAAATAGTTCAAAAGTTCCAGCAGTAAGCCTACCTCGAGAATTTATGACATAACATACTCGAAATCTCGTAACATACATTGATCAAATACCAAGATAAAGAACAAGGTACTATTAACATAAGGTCGTGGTGGCCCGGAGGTTTAACATGCTTATCATGAATTTTTTTTAAGGGGGGAATATCATCGAATGACTGTTCCCGCCTGGGTGAGGCGGAGAGGGAGCGTCAGACTCTTATTGACTAAATAAAAACCACCCCGTTCCTACTCCACTTCGAGCCGGAGCTCCGGTAACCCGTTAGGTTCTGTGCGGCTCCGTATCGGCATAACCCATATTGGACCCCATCCGTGGTGGTCTGATGGCTCTTTGAGGCGTGCGCGGAACGCGACGCGGCGTACGCTCGGGTCTGGTTCTGGTCAGGCGGCGAGCTACCCATGCTCGCCGTCTGCAGGCTCGCGCTAACGGTGGCTGGAGATCGTCCCGCGATCCCCAACGCCCGGAGTGTCCTTTGCGATGGTTGGGTTGTGAGGAGGCAGCGCTTCGCTGCCTCACGCGTCCCGTCTCCTCCTTAGCTTGTATGACTGCTTCGCAAAAGGAGGAGACGGCATCCCAGTCCTCCTCGCTCCGCATCACGACACAACGTTTCATGCATGAGGGTGCGTGTTCGAAACTTATCAAGTACCAATGCGACTTTTTCCGAGTTATATGTACTTTCTAAGATTATTTAGACACCACTGACAAACGGCGAAGGAAAACAACGTGAGGAAACCTGAGCTTATAATTTCTAATTATAAGTTTGGAATCGCCAACCCGCATTGAGTAATTATCACACGGAGAAGGTTTGAGCATTAACCACCACGCTTGCTCAATTGCGTCTCACCAAAGGCGGGAGAAGTCCAATGACATCACCCAGAGATGACACAATAATCATTGAATGATCCCCCCCCTCCAAAGAAATCGTAACAAAAATATGTTGGTGACGAATATTCTATGCCTTTATATCATGTTGGTGGCCATATTGCCAACGTTGTCGCCAACCTAAGCCATAGCGTGCCAAGATATGCAAATAGGGTAGCCATATTATTATACGATGGCAAAACTTAAAGGTTAGTAGAGTATCCATAAATATTCGTTAGTAGAGACTGTCTCATATATTACTTTTTTGCTCGACCTTGAGTGTGTATGTAAATATGTATAATCTGACTTTACGGAAAATAACTGCTCCCGTACGGTTTCATCCACTCTGCTCGGCTCCTACTCGTAATAGCGTGATGTTTTATAGCCTAGCCTACCTTACTTATCTACCTTCCTCGATAAATGAACTATCTACATAATATAACATAACATAACATCACGCCTTGTATCAGAGGTGTAGGCAGAGGTGTCCATTACGGCACTTAATGCCACTGCACAATGTAAAACCCAATTTTCACTATTTATGTTACGAGTCCCATGTAATAGGGGGTGAGCCTATTGCCATACCGGGCACAATTATTGTGAAAAATCTCAGTAGGAGCACTACTACTGAGATTTTTTGACAAAACCCAGTAATGCTTTGCCCGACCCGGGAATCGAACCTGAGACCCCTTGCCCGGCAGTCGATCAAGTTATTTAGTGTTTATACAATACACATACATACATCAACAGCCTATAAGTGGCCACTGCTGACCAAAGGCCTCTTTTAACACGGAAAAGGTTTGAGCATTAATCACCACGCTTGCTTAATGCGGGACTGCGGGTTGACGATTTCAAACTTATAATTACAAATTATAAGCCCAGGTTTCCTCATGATGTTTTCATTCAGTGTCAGTGGTGTCTAAATACTCTTAGAAGCATTTATTTCAATTAAACCATGGTTTGTTACTTTTGAAACGTCAAAAAATACAAAATAATTAATAGTCTGTCAGTCAGTCCGTCAGTGAAACTAGGTGAAGCTAGGTGCTCATTCCAAAATTTAGATTCGAATGGAGAAGAACGAGCATACATGAGAAGGGGGTGTCTTAACCTCAGAGTCGATACAATTATTTAGTATGAAGGTAAAATAAATATTGATTCAGTACAGAGACAGTAGCTATGGTTTTAGTGAATCGTATGCTTTTAAGAAATTTCATAATTATAATTCATTTCAAACGTTTGGTACTCTGATATTATGTATTGTGCTTCGAATAAGCATGTTTCATTCAACATTGTACCTATTACACAATACAATAGGGTCGATTATTGTAAATTATAAATCAAGATCTGACATTTACAACAAACACTGATTACGAAGCATTAATTCTGCTATAAACAGCAAATTGACCCTTACATCCATTGCATTAAAGTACGTTTTACAACGAAACTTGAATACTTGATTAAAATTTCAAATCAGGTGAAACGGTGGCCACTACTATCCAATTTACGTTGACCTCCACGTGCATTTCAACTAGGTTTATCGAGAGATCAAGATAGGGTGGATATACGTGTAGAACCGAAACGCTTCCGATAGTTATCAGACAGCGCCATCTATTACCAAGTAGCGGAACTAGGTTGGAATATATTAACTGTGAAGGGCATTTTGTTGGTACGAAGGTAAAATTAGAACCGTTGCCTAGTTTTCTTGAAGTGGCTCAAGTGTTTTTGGTGGCCAGACCTGACTTATTATGGGGCACAATGACGGGCGTTTTCCAAGTAAGAGGACCATACCCAGGTATTAATATGTTGGTTCAATCGGAGTAATACATTTTTTTTAAAGACGTTACCCTACACTAGTATTTTCTCCTGCGTCGTGGGTGCGTTTACAAACTTCACACTCCACATACACATGACACCCAGACCCGAAACAACAATCTGTGGATCACACAAAGAGTTGTTCTGAGCGGGAATCGAACCCGTAACATGTTGCGCGACAGCCCAGCTACCGCACCAACCGTGCAGT